TCTGCCTGATCACTCTGTATCGTCTTACTTTATGTGTATTCCCAGGCTTACCCAATTGTATTTTTAGTCATAACGTTTCACTCTTGACTCAGACTGACTCAGACTGAGAAAAAGAAGAAAGATATTGAAGAATTGAAGGTTCATTTAAAGGTTGGACATGAAGGGTGTGTAACGTTTGGATACAGTAGATTACACAGAGCAGACAGAGCATTGTTCCACACATACCGATAATGGTGTTGTTTTACTTTACCACTGTTGGTGGTGCTGTTGCCTAAGCAGACTGTTTGTCCAACACCAGCTTTACCACAAGTCACCGCCCGTCTGTGAGGAAAATAGGCGATTGTTTTGTACTCGCTAAGACTCTATGGATGGTGGCATTGTATGGATTTGACTTAAGACTACAAAACATACGGTCTATGCTGTGAGCGAAATAGGACGCCTCGGATAACTGTAATTTTGGATCTGACATTCTTTAGTGAAAATGGATTTTCTGAAGAGCAAAGGCACCTCACTGGATTGGAGAGCCTCCATTTTGCTATTCTGCGCTGTTGCTGCTGTTAGCGGACAAATTCGTTATTCTATACCAGAGGAGATGAGAAAAGGGCTGTTTGTCGGAGACGTTGCTAAAGACCTGGGCTTGGATGTTAAAAGGTTGGTTTCTGGTCGGGCTCGACTTGCAATAGATGGCGATCACCAATATGTCGCACTGAACCAGAACAAAGGGCATATCGTTGTCAATGAAAGAATTGACAGAGAAAAATTATGCGCCAAGAAATCCCCCTGTAGCTTTAGTCTAGAAATTGTCCTCGAAGATCCACTTGAATTGTTTTCCATTACCATCGAAATACAAGATGTAAACGATCATGCCCCTGCTTTTCCCAAAAAGGAAATTAATTTGGAAATAAGCGAATCGACGCCCACTGGGACTGTATTCCTTCTTGATAGCGCAGCTGATCCAGACGTAGGAATAAACTCGCTGCAAAGTTACTCTTTAAAAGCAAACGATCATTTTGTTCTCAAACAACACACGCGAACGGATGGTAGTAAGTATGCCGAAATGATGATTCACAGTGGTTTGGACCGCGAGAGACAAAGCGAGCATACGCTCATATTAACGGCTGCAGATGGTGGAGAACCGCAGAGGTCTGGAACAGTAAAGATACATGTAACTGTTCTGGACGCAAACGACAACGCACCCGTTTTCACACAGTCTGTATTCAAAGCATCTGTCTTGGAAAATGCTTTGCCAGGCGCAGTTATTGCCAAAGTCAGTGCCGTAGATGCGGACCAGGGTTACAATGGTAACATCACCTATTCTTTCACCCACCTAGAGGAGGATTCCTCCTGTCCTTTCGAAATAAATTCTTACACCGGAGAGGTTAAACTCACCGGTGACATTGATTACGAGGTTTCTCCAAATTACGAAATCAATCTTCAAGCAAAAGATCCATGGGGTGTAGTGGGCGCCAGCAAATTGATTATTGAGATTGGAGATGTGAATGATAACCGTCCAGTTATCACAATGGCTTCATATTCGGGTAAGATTTCAGAGGATTCTACTCCGGGCACAGTTGTGGCTTTGATTAGTGTCCAAGATAAAGATTCCGGTAAAAATGGACAGGTGCATTTAAATATAGATGAACATTTTCCGTTCAAAATTAAATCGTCTCTAAGAAACTATTACACATTGGTCACGGAGCAAGTTCTCGACCGAGAAAAGCTTTCTAAGTATAACATCACTCTCACTGCCACAGATGAGGGCTTGCCCGCCTTATCAAGCAGCAAAACCGTCGTTTTAGACGTTACTGATATTAATGACAACGCACCGGCTTTCACCCAAAGTGTTTATAGCACTCAGGTAATGGAGAACAATTCTCCTGGTGTCACTCTGTTGCAGATCCATGCCACTGATCCAGATCATGGTCAGAATGCGCGCATATCGTATCTTCTTATTGACGGTGATGTTAGTGGAAATCCGGTCTCCGCATATTTCTCCATTAATACAGAGAGTGGAGTCATTCAGTCTTTGCGTTCACTTGACTATGAACAAGTCAAAGAGTATAAAATACGAGTTAAAGCACAAGATGGAGGCTCGCCACCACTAAGTAGTAACACAACAGTTATTGTGCGTGTCCAGGACCAGAACGACAACCC